CAGTGCCCAGATGGCCGGTGTCCATGATCCCAGGGATTTTCAGGTGAGGTGATTGCTTTAGTTGTTCGAAGCCACGGCAGGGCGTTTAGGGCAGGATGAACTTAATACCAAGAGTTGGAAACTGATCAAAAACCCCAGGGCTAATAACTTGCCCTTCTTTAATACCTTCTTAATATCTCCAATGGTCATGGGCAATCAGGGTCTCAATTTCATAACTAAAAGATTAAACCAAGATTCTGGAGTCGCTCATGAGAAGGAAACGGGGTTCTGAGAGCCACCAGCCCTGGGGTGCGGCACTGATGGCAGGCGGGGCGGGTGGCTGCTCCCATCCTCATCCCACCGCACCGGGCTGGAGCAGCATCGCGGCTTTGGGCTGGGTTATTCAGGACCCTGGGCTGGGTTATTCGGGACCCTGGGCTGGGTCACTTGGGACCCTGGGCTGGGTTATTCGGGACCCTGGGCTGGGTTATTTGGGACCCTGGGCTGGGTTATTTGGGACCAGGAGCCCTTTGTGCAATGGGCTGCGCAGGTTTTGCTCCTTGTTTCCCCAGCACTGCTGCCCCAATGGGTGGGGAAAGGTCCAGCGACCAGAGAAGGAGGATTTTTGGTTGGGCTGTGATATCAGAAAAAGCGCAGGAGGAGGGAATGGGAGAGATGAGTTTTTTCTCACTGGTGACTTGCCTGGCAGGTGCATCCATCACACCCAGGGACAATGATGTCCTCTGGGAAGTCATAGAGGAGACAAAACCCCCTTCTGCTCCACGCAAATCCAACCCACCCCTGGCACTGCATGAGCTCAGATGCAAAATAAACAGGGGCATCGCGTGATCCTCCCCCCAGGTCCCCAGCATGTCCCTGACACCAGCCCCCCCTGCCCTGGTCATGGCCCCAGCACAGTCCCCGGGCTTCAGGCAGGGGACAGGGACACTGTGCAGGTGTGCAAACAGGCGGGAGCTTCGGTTTCGGTTTCTCCTGCAATAAAAGTCTCCCAGCGTGGTTCCTGGCCAAAAGTAAACACAACGCTGGCACCGTGCTCATTTCTGGCATCACCGGGCAGGACACAGGAGTGGGATTTGGTGTTTTTCACAGTGCTCATTTCTGGCATCACCGGGCAGGACCCAGGAGTGGGATTTGGTGTTTTCCACGGTCCCAGTTACCCTGGGCTATGTTAGATGGAGCCCCTGAAAGGTATCCCCCCTCCTGGGGGCTTTTCAGCAGCTGGGGATTCAACCCTTTGCGGCTCCATCAAACGTTTCCCTAACAGCTTTGCAAAAAAGGGGATGTTGATCTGTGTGGGGAGAGGCAGCTTCCTTCTTCCTCCTCTGGGTTTTACAAGGACCGAAAAGATCGTATGGTCCAGGAGAGGAGGGTAAGGGAGTGGTGCTGGGCAGCTGCAGGACCGTCACCCCATGCATGGCACTGCCCCACACCCCGAGATTGGTTTCCCAGCATCATCACCTCCAACCCACTCCATCATCCCACCTCTTGCACTCTGCAAGCCCCAAAATTTCACCCCCTTCAGCCCAGGCTGGGTCCAGCCCTGG